CTGGGGGCCCCTGGGCGCCCCCTTCCCCGCTCGCGAGCCGCTTCATGCCCGCCAGCCCCCGGGAAGGCGAATTACAGCGGGAACCGCCTCCTCTTCCTCTCCTTGCAACCAGCCTCGCAAATAGAAACAGCCTCCAACGGACCTGCGGCTCCGGCACCCGGCAAAACCTCTCGAATTAACCGTCTCGGCATCCCGGAGGCCAGTTCGGGGCCGGGTCGGACCAGCAGCAGCCCAAACCCAGAGCTCACCCCAATTTTTCCACGCCAAAAGCGCTGTTCCCACGCCGGGGCTGGGATATCCAGCCCCGGAGCAGCCTCAGCACAAGGCACAACGGATGGAGGCAGCGAGGCTTGGCCCATCTCCCGGCCCATAGGAAAAAAAAAACTCCGGGCCCATAGGAGCCATCCGCATCCCCTTGCCCAACATTCGGTCACTTCACAGCCCCTCACCTTGCTCCAGCTCTTTTTGTCCCTTTCCCCCCCCTCCTTTTTTTTTTTTTTAAATCTGTGTTTGGGCAGCTCGGCTGCGGAGCGCCGCGGGCCCGTCGGCCCTTTCTCCGCCTCGGCACGTGTTTCTCGCCCGGCGCGGAAGGACAGCGCATCCGCAAAGCGTTTTCCAGCCCTGTCACCGAACTGTCACGAATCTCTTCACCTTTTCACGTGGGATAATGGCATGAGTCAGCTGCGCGGCGCCGTTCGGCAGCATAATGCTCTATTGTCTCTCCTCGACTTCGGCTGTGAAAAGACACCTTTTGTCTGCAACTCCAGTCTTTTCCGGGGGTTTTTCTTGTTTTTCTTTTTTTCTTGCTTTCTTTTAGGAAGGCTGAAGATGCTTTTGGAGCATTTCTAAGCACCTGCTGCTGCTGGCTCCTGCCGGGCACGTAGCAACCGTTCCTGCTCCAAGCTCGTTTCTTTTCCCTGTTGAACGGTGAAACTCTCCCTGTGCTGCTGGCTGCTCCGGATCAGCTTTTGCCAGGACACGGTCCTGCCACTGTTTCTCTCCTCCCCGCCCTGGGGATGCCGCAAGAGCAGGGGTGCACCGAGACCCCCCACACCACAGCCACCTCCAAACCTCATTGCACCGACCCCGGTGGTCCCGCGCGCCCAGGAGCGGCTGTTAGCGGCCGTGCGCGCAGAGGTTTCACGCAAAGGACAGCGATCTTGCTGCCCCGCCGCCCGTGGGATGCACCGTGCCGAGCTGCCCAGGGGTGCTGGCAGCACCGACCATGAAGTAGTGGGGCCCAGGTGTGCGTGAAGGGGAAACAGGTTGGAAACCCAGCCTCAGCCTAGATCGCCCAAGTGCTCCCCAAAGCAGGACGCCCCTTTCTCTGCTGCCTACAACAGTCTCTGCCAGCAGCCATCTCGCTCCCATCCATCCCAAGAAACCATAAGCAAACGCAAGTCAGAAAGTCTTTGGTATGCCGAGGAAAGCATTTTTTCCCCTTTTCTTAGTATTTAGGTGTGGAGGTACAAACGCACACAGTAACATACACACACAGCGACACCCCAGGGGAGTTCATGAGGGCTCCCCAAACCTCGGGACGGACGCTTGGCTGACAAGCTGCTACCGCCCTGCCCGAACTGCAGCAGCTTGACAGCATTCATGCTCTTAGCGCACCACCGATGCACGATAACATGGCTTAGCCCAAAGTGAAGGCTTTTGGACCCGCCACGTGCTGCTGGAGCCCTTGTGAGAGGGGAGGATCTCCGCAGACTTTCTTGCTGCCAGAGGTCCCATCCAGATCTCAAATCGCCACGTCCCGAGGCGGACAAGGAGCAGCAGCCCAGTGATCGATTCTAGACCAAATCTTTGCTCTCAGGTAGTGCTGCCGTCTAGCTGGTGGGAACACGACGAGCAACAGGTCTGAGTCCTGTCGCTGTGCTCGAACTCTGGTCATCAGTCTACCTGGAGCGTCACTAAACTTTCCTGCTGGGGGTGAACACCCTAAAGACAGACAGGTAGATTCAAGACAGCCAGGTGGACACGGATCCAATCCCAGTCCGAGGCTGGAGGCTCATAAAACCCACCCGCTCCACTCGCTTTGCCTCCTTCGTGAGCCTCCTCGTGGAGACTTCTACCCGGAAAAGGCCAAAGATTTCTATCTGGAAAAGGCCAAAGCCCGCAGTTCGCTCCTGCTGCCACCCTGGACAGCTCGGCAACACGCGGCACTGAGCACCGCCGACAAACTGCGGCCAGGACGTTTGTGGGGAGAGAGGCGGGGGAAAAGATAAGGTCACCCTTTCTGTGGGTTCAGGGCAAAAGTCTACCCTCTACAGACTGCCCTAAGTTCAGTCCCAAACTCTGCTCCCACTGTGTTTCTCACCGTCTCTGAGCTAGTAGCTACCTTCTCAGCCAGAGGCATTGCTCTGCGTCTACCGTCTTGAACCGCGCAGCCCTTTCTGAGCCCCCCTAACCAGAGGGGCCGTGGCCAGGCAAGCTCCGATAGCTGTGCCGCAAGCAAGGTTCCTGCGGTGGGTTTCCCCTGGCTTCAGATCAGTTGAGCCTCTCCCTCCAGCTCAACCTGCAGGTCGCAAATGCCTGTGAAGTTTATCTCTTTGCTGGCCTGGCTGCTACCGACGGAGCCGATGTTGCCACCAGGAGAGAACGGGTGTTGAATGCCGTCTGTCAGGCTTCGGTTCATGTAGGTCTCTAAGGATTTCAGGAGTTGCTTCGGTTTCTTTTTGGTGAATGACTCCACTTCTAGAAAAGTCAAAGAAAAAACATGAAAGCACAAACACTGTGAAGTCTGCCGGGTCTTAGAGATGCAGCGTGGAATGCACATTCCTGGGGTAAGGTTTATACCGTGCATTTACAAGCTTTATTTCTGGTGTCTCAATATATCATCAACATCCCCTTCTGGAAAGGGCACAACCACATTTTGTTCAGGAAGGGCTGCACTTGGCATGAGAACGCATGGAAAAAACTCCTTGCCAAAAACCCTTAGGCCCGACCTCACACAAGACCCCTCCGCCTGATCCCCCCAGAGGGAAAAGCCTAGAGCTGCAGGGGAGGTGGGGAGAGCGGCCCAAAGAGCAAGCCTAGCCGCAACAGCTGGACCCCATTATAAAAGGGAGCCATTAGCACAGCCCGTCTGAGCAGCTCTGTTTACATCAGGCTCATCTTCGCTGGGGTAAATAACCCTGCTGTTTGATTTAGTGCTTACTGCAAAAAAGCACGGCATTGGCAACGCCACTTAGACCTTGCGCTACGCTGCTTATGCAACTGTGTACTTTACTGCATTAGCAAGCCCGAAGGAACAGGCGTTCGGGGATAAGAAACATCCCAGTTTGGCTAGCCCTGGCCAGCACGAGCTGCCTCCCCAAGCCACCGTGACACAACGCCCCTCCGAACCGGGTTAGCGCTTCTGCAGGCGCTCACCTCTCTAATAGGCAAAGGGAAGAGAGCCACAGGGCACTAATATAATTATTGCTCTCGACGGAAAGTAAATCCCGGTGTGAAGATTAAGCGATGAGGATGGGGTTTCGGCCTGCCGTGTGTTTCACCCCTACCCGCTTGTCCTAGTAGGCCACAAATGTCCTTATACATGGCAAAGTATGCCAAAAACATGCCAAAAACAACGTTAGTCCTCTAGGCCTCAGGTTATTTTCTTTGCCTGGGAAAGGAAGGCAAAGCATAGGGAAACGCACCCTTTAGCAGGAAGCCAGAGTCAGCAATGGTTTTGTGCTGCGCTTTCCAGACGCTGTAGAGATGCAGAAACGCCGCCACGTACACGTCGTTCAGCACCACGATGACTTGCTGCCTGCGGTTACACTCTCTGAAAGGGACAGAGGCAGGCTCAGCCGACAGACTCTGCATCCCACGCTCGCCCGCTAAGAGCGGAGCGAGATGCTGTTTCTCCTCTCTGCCAGCACGCGGCGCGGTTCCCCCGATGGTGCAACCCGGCCCTGCAGCCGCCAGCCGCTCAGCACCTCACCTGGAGAGACGTTCCTCCCTCAGGGCCTGCATCACGATGCGAGTGATGTTCACCGACATGATGCAGAAGGGGAAATTCTGCAAGAGAACCAGCGTTGCTTCAGCTCTGCCGCAAAAGGCCTTCTCTCCTCCAGCACACGGCCTCAGAGGGGCCGAGGCCACGCCACCGGCCCTGTAACGCTGTGGCTGCCTCACCCCAGCACCTCCGGATTCACAAATTGGAACAACGGTACTATGGATACAGGCTCAGATGGATGCTGCGGCTCAAACCAAGCTTATATCCAGGTTAAACCCACGTGTACCCAAGACCGATACCCCAAGTCAAAAGCAAAAGGCTCCACCCGCTCCTGTTTTCATGCTGCGCTGCTCTCAGCTAGTTAGCTTCCCAACGCAGAGGTCAGTTGATAATAGAGTCCTACCACGAATGGCCCCAGAGACCCCACCGCTGAGCAAGTGGGCGCAGCGACAAATCAAGCCCTTACTTCAAAGAGAAGCAGGTTTTCGTGCTTACCTTTCCCTGAGCTTTAGGAATAAATAGGTAAATACCACCGCAGAGAGTAAGCAAAGAAGGTGGAAGGACGTGCCTGGGTTTCATGCTGGGATAGCTTGAAAATCTTGTGAGCTAGAGGCAGTGTCTGAGAGTCCATGACAAAGTACAACATTTGCATCAAGCCCAGCATCCCCGTCCCTCGCAGGTCAGTCCCGGGATCGGCACCTTGAAGGTAAGGAGAGCCCGGTGAACCAAGGGACCGCCTGACCCACCCAAAGTCGCTCTCCAGTCACCTGCCCTCTTTTGTGGGCTGGATGTACTCTGCCACAGCCCTGGCGTTTCGAGAGCAGGGGAAACCACTGAAGTCTGCTCCCTTCAGGAATCACAGCCTAGGGAAAAGCTTTGGGGGAATTCCTATACTGCTATCGGAGCCTCTCCTTCATGTGAGCAACCACCCCCTCTCCTACCTACACACCCATTTCTGTAAAATCTCTAGGAATTAGTGTCTTCAAGCTCTATCCATCCCAGAGCAGATCAAGCTGGTAAACTAACGCAGGGATCTTAAAACCAGTTGTGCCCTCGACACTGTTGGGGGGAAGAGCGTCATTCACCTTCTGTGGAAATTTTCAGACGCCATTAAAAACCAGCCTATTTAACGCACAAGCCAACCAGACTGAAAGCTCCTGCAGAAGCAGCATTTGACAAGACAAGAGACCACTTTAATCACGGTGTTTTTCTTACAAAGCAGAAGCTGAAAGCAACCTGCACCCCAACCTTAGCAACAGAGCCCTCACCAGCGCTTTGCTAATAAACCAGCCCTCCAGAGATGGCTCATTAGCCAAAGAGATCATTTGCTAATGAAAAGCATTCATAGCCTGGCAAAGCAGTTACACCAGCTATTCCTTGTTATGCCAGCACCAGTTGGAGGCAGGCAACTGTGCCAGGGCAGCAGCAGGTGTTGGCATATCAGCACTGGGCTAATCAGTCCAGGTATTGCGCTGACTGGGGCAGCGACAGCTACAGATCTGCTACCAAACGACAGCAGGAGCAGCAGCTGCGTAAAGGGAACGAGCACCAAACCCTTTATGCTCTCTTTGGATCTCACCTCTGGAGGAGGGAATGAGATTGGCATGATCTCCCCAGTGAAGATTTGCTCTCTCTCCCCCAGCCGTACCTTGAAAGCCGAGCTCTTCCCAGTGTGCCCCGTAGCGTGGGCAACTCAGTGTGGAGCAGGTTAGTTTCTTGTAGATAGTCTGCAGGATTCTCATGTGCACTCTCTCGTTATTATCTAAACCACCTGGCAGAGAAAACATCTCTCAGCATCTCTACAACACTGAACAGCCTTTAGCTACCCTAATGAGCCACGATGGGAAAGAACCACCACCAGCTGCAGAGAAAGCTAGAATCTCGCTGGAGACCAAGTCCCACAGCAGAAAACTGCCTACATCAATAAGGGGAATATCGAAGCCATGTTTGTCCTGCTGGAGGGGAGAAAAAAGTGTTAGAGGTGCAGAAGCAAAAACACAGTATTGCAGACCATACTGGGTACCGATTCACTTTGACATCACAGAAGCTTTGCTAAACCACTGGTCAAAGTAGCACCGCTTGGGGAACCATGACCAGTACACAAACCACTTGCACAGGCAAAAAGTTTTCCTGTGCAAATGTGCTCAACATGTGCAATCCACCACGGGCCAGCCAAAAACAACGGCTCTGCTGGACACAGGACTATCTAGGGGCTATGCAAGGAGAGGAACAGCCAGGGCAGGACACGTGCTACACTGAGGTACTGACAGAATTAACGTCTCCTGTGTTGTCATTGCTGACCAAAAGAAGAGGTGGAGATCAGGGAGGGCTGTTCAGCCCCAGAGCACCTGCCCTGTATCGTGTCACTCCCTTGCTGGGGGCGGAGGGCTAGCGTAGCAGAGGAGTCACTAGCAAAGAGGGGTCAAGGGATTTGTGACCCTCTCCACAGATGTTGCCAGTCGACGGAAGGAAGTTCACGAGTACATCAGCAACAGGGGGGCAAAGGAGATGCCTGGAAAGTGGAGAACACCTGCTCCGGGACAAGCAGCTGCCACGGGATGAGCGGTCAGCCCACGCCATGCTCCAAGACCCCCTCGGGTTGCTTCACGTGAACCTCATGCGGGACCAGCAGCGATAAATCCAGCACTGCCTGGGCTGTCGTTTTGTATGGGGCTGCTCTTACGGAATTGGAAGGGGATACTCACATTGAGCTATCGTGAGAGCCAGGTCCCGCTCTCCCTGCAGCTGCTGCTGGAGCCGCGGAGGACCAAAGAGGAAGTGAACCAGAGCAGCCAGACCTTGTCTATGCACCGTCGCTTGGATCTTTTTCTGTAGAGAAGAAAGTGCATAAAGAAATGATCAGGGTGGGCCAGTGGCTTTGGGAATCGGCCAAGAGAAAACGCAGAAGGCGGGCTGGGAGGGAAGGGGTCAGGAAGAGCCAAGCGGAAGGAAGATGGAAGTAAAGGTAAAGAGAGAAGTGCAAGACAGCACGGACAGGACAGAGCAAGAGGTAGAGAAGAGGAACAACATAGACAAAGTGGGAAGTCCCGAGTTCAGGCCTCAGCTCAGCTACTCGCCACACAGTCTTGCGGAGGTCACCCGTGGCCAATCCATGCTCCCATCTCCTATTTTCTAAAACTTCCTGGGTGCTAGAAAAGCTGCAGCCACGCAGCCCGTGAAAGGGCCGGAGCGTGTGGCCCCACTCGTACCCTGCACTCAGAAAGGTCTGCGGTCTGGAAGTACTGCAGCGCTTCGTTGAAGGAGATCAGGGGCACGGGACCGGCCGACTCCTCCAGCAGCCCTGCAGAGAGGCACAGAACAGTGTTAGCTCTCTGGCGCAAGCTCTGCGCTGTGCTCCAGCTTCCTCATGCCTAAAATAGTTCCTGCCCGACACTGGAGCAGCAGTTGAGTCATGGGGGGCATCTACGCTCAATTCTAAGTTACTACATACGGAAGCATAGGGAATCTGGGGGAATAAAGTGCATTTCCAGCCTGCTCCCTCTCCTTCCACACCTTCCCCAGCCCTCTCCCACCCCTCAAACCTTGTCCCAGCTGCACGCCCAGCTAGTGCTGGTCTCTGCGCTCGCTGCGGCCAGCTCCCTTCCCCTGCCCAGCTCTTTTCCATCCAGTGCTGCGAACTATAATAAACCTTCTTCTCCCAGACAGCAACTGCTCTCATTAACTGTACCTGACTGGGTATTTTCCACTGCCTCCCATTCCTCCTGGGCTCGCCGCCGCTCCTCGCTGGGCTCTGCCAACAGAAAGACATGCTGAAGGTTAGATTCAGCTGGGAGAACCAGGACGGTGTTTGCTTGCTTCCTCCAGCGCTCGTCAGGACATCTAGGAAGACATCCAGCAGGCAAAATTTCCTCTTTTGCTTCTCTTCGCTCGCTCACCTCGTGGCTCTCTGGGACAAAAGCACGGCGGCTGCAATCCACGACTAGGGGGACGCTTGAACCCACTCAGGGCAGACCCCTCCCCCCACCAAAATCCCTAAACACACTGTGAGGCTTCTCCTGGCAACAACCGGGAGAAAACTCGGCGACTTTGGGACGCGCTTTGCAAAGCAGGGCAAACTCTTCACCAAGCCCAGTGACAGATTTGCCTCGCAGCCCGCAAGGCCAGCGCCGTGTTACTATGGCACCCTGCAAGCTCCCCAGGCATTTCTGCCACCAAGAAACGAGAAGATAAACAACGAGGAAGCAGAGCGAAAGCTTACCAGCTCCTGCAGGCTGGCCTGCTTCCTGCATAAGAGCCCGCAGCAGACCATTTTGTCTCAGAGCCGAGATCTGAGCGGAGAGAGACAGACACAGCAGTCACCCAGCAGCGAAAAGACGGGAGTAAAAGAGAACAGGCAAAGAAAAAACCGACCCCTCCGCAGGGAGGCAAACCCAAATCCCTGAACTTTCCCCTTAGGGAATAAACCCCGGTCTCCACTCGCGGACGGAGCCAGCCAGGCGCAAACGCGTTGGAGCGACTGAGCTCGTGAGCGGACGCGGTTTGGTTTTACCGCCTGCGCGTTACCGGCTCCGGATTGCAGCCCATCAGCTGAGGACGGGAGGGGGAACAGTCCCGTAGAGCAAACGCTGTAGGAGTTACGGGCCTCGGCGCCAGCGCCCCACGCGCTGGGAGGGCTCACGGGCTGGGGGTGCGTGCAGGTCTGCCTGCAGCCTGCAAGAAAACATACACGTGTATGTGTATATGTGTGTATATAGGTGTGTATATATTTAAGATGCTGCGTGAGGACAAGGGACGCTGCCCCCGCGGCACTCTGCTCGTAACGCTCACCGCTGACACGC